AACGTCATATGTAAACCACTCTTATTTAAGCATTATCTCGGATGAGATTTGTGTTCTTTTGGGGCATATTAACATTGTAAATAAGTGATGATTGATGAGGTATAATATTTTGTAAAATTTGAATTATATATATTTTTATTGTAGCACACTAACTTAATTTTTGATAGCCCAATTGATCTTTTTACTTTTTTTTTTTTTAATTGTACAATTTTCTGAGCCTTAATATTCTTTAGGATGTCTAATAAATGAAAACATGGTTCAGTTGTTTAGATTTTTTTCTATCAAATAAAAATAATGTTCTAAATTTTTCCTTTCTCTTTGGAGTATTACAAGCTCTTGGTGCATAAAGAAGATCTGTAAAGTTGCAAAGACTAAAGTCTCAAATCCAAAGAGTCAATAACAAAACTGCTTTGAAGTCTATTTGGACCTGGTTTGTTTGGTACAGATGAACTATTCTATAGATATAGGCAACAAACAAGTTTGTCAGAGTGTAGATTTGTGTCAACATTCAGATACAATGGAAAAAAAATAGCAAATTAGCACAATGATTTCCCAGTATAACAAAGATGCTACCCTTCTTCTGAACAAATTTTGTCCAACATTTAATCAAATATGTGTAAAGATTGACATTGACTACAGGAGAGGTGTAATACAGAAGTCATACAAAACTAGTTTTTTTTCAAACAAATAGACATTGTATATCATTTACAGTGGATTATTTTACATATAACTGAAATGCAAACAAAATAAAAAAGACTTTATTGAAAGCCATATACCAGTGAAATATGATTTGCCCTTAATCTTTAAAGATAGTATCTGCATGAATTTTTGTACAAAATATACTATGTCAGGCCAGTATTAGAGTAGTGCAAATTATCAGGCTTTGATACATTACTTTTACACACAGCTTTATTGATAGTTTTACTAGTTAATTTTACAGCATCATACATGAGACCAAAGCCTAAATCTTTATAAAAGAAATAGAAAAGGATAAAATAAAGTAAAAAGAGCCTAGAGTCGGGTAGTAAGTGCTACTGTAAAATGTAACTGCTTTAAAATATAGATTTTAATTTTTTTTATTTTATTTGTTTAAATCTGCATTGCTTTGGTCACTCTGTTGCACTATACAAAATACACTTGCATCTCTGACATAACTTTAAGCTGTCATTCTGTAAAACAGTGATTACCTATATATTCCCTATAGATTTATAGAATTTACATTTACATACAACATGACACTATTTTTCAAAAGTGCATCTGCAATACAGATCTTGACAAAAAAGATAGCAATACAACTTCATGTATTAAAATTATTTTCTTGTAAAATGATGTGTATATGAAAGAGAATCTGTGTAATTATATTTTTGTTTTAGTTACTTTTAAAAATGATCAATGATTACCAAACAAACATTTTTTTTTTAGACATTTCAGCATACTTCAGAATTTATACAACCTATGTTTTATGGCTCAAAAACTCCCTTTGCAAGGCCTACTGTGAAACAAATAGAACGCTCACAAACCTAGCGAGGAATTTGTAAAAAATAGTCTTAAAATACGCTAAAATATTTGGGGAATCCACTGGAATATGCACTGTGACATTTCAATTTCACATCAGCCGTTGGAAATGAGCATTAAACAAACAGTGTCTCTGTAACACTCCAAAAGCACGAGTCCAATGACACACAGCAGATTCTCTCACATGCTGTCAAAAAATGGCTGCACTGCTGGAAATTAACCTTTAACCCTCTGATCGCCATGAGTTGTCTGATACTGTGCATGGCAAAATTAATTGCTTAATCATCTGAGTCAAATGAACACAGTTGTATTTTTTTTTTTAAATAGTTTTGTTAGGTCATTGTTTGAATGTTCGATTGTCTTATGTACACAAACACTAGAAATACTTGGGTCCAACAAAAAAAGGAATATTATATAAATGAAAATTCTGTCTTATTTACTCACCCGTGTGTCATTCCAAACCCATTTGCTTTTTTTTTTTTTTACCCATCTCATGGAACACAAAAGACGACATTGTGAAGAATCTTCACAAAGCACTTTTCCGTACAACATAGTGACAGAAAAAGTTTGGAACAACGTGATAAAAACGACAGAATTTTAATTTTTGGATGAATTATTCCTTTACGCTGGTAATCAAGCGTAACTGGTGCAAAAACCCTGAAGCGCAGACACCAATGTCAGTTAACACGTAACAATGAGGAAACACATGTCCCAGCACGAGAACGACAAATGTTCCTTTTGTTCTGAAGTTACCATAAAAGAGTGCGTTTGTGGCTTGGCACCACAGGGACACATCAAAGACACAGACAAGAAAAGTGGGTCAAAACTTGTGGGCCTCATATGGGTTACCAGATTTAGAATATGCAGAGAGCATTCCAAAAACATTAAATTAAAAACGGGGATGCTGGTGGATGTGCAACTTTAAACACGCACAAACATTCACCAAATGACATGAACACACGACAGTCGACAGGAGGGGAATGCTGGGATACGCTAATCTCAATGTGACCAGAATGGATGGAAATCTGACAAATGAACCCTGAACTCATTCACTGATTTCATGACTTAGCATCACGTGTTTTGTATCCAAATGCTTGCAAGTCAAAATTGTTATTTATTTTATGTGAACCTGAGGTAATCAACATAAAAAAACCTTTAATAATAGTTATAATATATAATAATAGTTCACACTCTTTAGAATTGTATTAATAATAATATATATATATATATAATTTTCTCAACATTATGTTGTTTGTAAATAAATTCTAAGTAAGTAACTTTCTACTTTGTGGGGGGCAGATATAGATATATTATTGTATTTAAAAGATACACTATTCAAGAAAATGCTGGTCTTTATTTATTTTTTAGACAATGAGGACTGACAAAAATGTCTGATTAATTTCTTTTGAGTCACATTTTTATATTAAACCAGTTGATCAAAATCACAAAATGTCTAAATGGACTGGACTGATCTGGTTCTCAACAGCTCACTGAAGGGGTAGGTTTTCAGTGAATAATGACTTTAATTTAGGTTTGCTCATCACACCGTGCTTTTGTATGAATTAATACAACTTGGAATACAGAAAATGAGTCACAGATGAGCCACTTTTACAAGACTTTCGTAATGTTTTTGAAGCTCCATTCATTGGAAGTGAATTGAAAATAGCAACCAGGGAATTATTCAGAATTTTTCCTTTTGTGTTCCACGGAGTAAAGAAAGTCGTAGGTTTGGAACAACATGAGGGTGAATAAACAATGGAATAATTTTGGGAAATCCAATATAAGAATTCAATGGAATTTTTGGGTGACCTATCCCTACAAATTATATTTCAGTGGAACATATTCAAACAAACAAAGAAACAATTCAGTATTTGCCGTCAGTCATGGAACAGATCTTGATTTGAATTATATTGTGGAATTTTCATGGTGCTCCATGCAAAATTGTTTTACGATTGGAGATTCGATGAGACTTAAAAAATACATTATATGATCTTATGTTTCACAGCATCTTCAAAATTTCGAGCACCTCTGGGGAGCGTTGAGCTGCCACCTACACTGAACCATCACGGCAGGTTTAGACAAGGGCAGAAACAGACGTGATGAACGTGAATCATCGACATAAATTTTGTATGCCAAGTCATTGCGTTAGCCTGAGAAATGTTCAAAACTGATTCGCAAAGCGCAAAAAAGGCACATTTCCCTTTTTTGATATACCTTTGTAAACATTTCAGCAGTGTACATGCAAAAAAGAGAAAATATCACTAAAAACGTTCTCAATTCTCAAAGTCACATTCCGTCTGCTCCAAGTACACAACTTTGTCCTGCTCCACGAACATTACTGAAGAGCAAACGTCACCTCTTCCCTCTGAGAATCAAGCAGAAGTGACTGTATCCCTCAGTTCATTCAGGCTGTTTGGGGAAAATGGGCAGGTTGGACTAGCGCTGGTAAGAAAATGGGGGGGTTAAGGCATTGTTATGATCTAAGGCAGTCATTTCTGATGGAACAGAAGAGGCTTGACACTCCCGTCTTTAAATTTTGGTAGCTGATGGCTGATGATCTCCGCCAACATCTCAGGAAACTCCACGCTCAGAGATTTATTCACAAATGTGTAGAAACAGAAGTTGAGAAGCCCCTCCACCATCTGTGGACAAAAGTAGCATTTCAATAGGGCTTTTACACACTGCATGACCCCAACAACGCAACCTAATGCATGTACATTCATAAGTAGTGATCGACTGATATATCACCATGGCTGATATATATATATATGTACTGTCACATTCAAAAAAATATGCATTTATACCTATTAAACAAGTCTTAGAATGCTTTTTAGAATGCCTATAAACTAAATATTGTCTCCTGAAGTACTGAGGATTATTACCAGTGCTGGGTAGATTACATACAAACTGTAGCCCATTACTGATTACAAATGACAATGAA